TACTTTTTGCTAAGGGCTGGACAAACCTTTTTATGCTTCTCATAATCACTACACATCTAGTTAATATTTTTGTATCCTTCTCTGAGTCTATCAGTGCATTCAATTTAGCTGAAGATGACTTTGAAATACCGCCAAGGAAACTTTGTAAAAAGCTCCTGATCCTTATATAATTAAAAGTTGGTGAAGAAGAAAGCCCATAAATGCTCTGTAGCTCTGAAAAGGAAATAATCCTACTCCCCTCTAGTATATCTTCTATTTTTTTAATCCCCTTGCTAAGCCATTCTGTTATATTCAAATTTTCTATTCAGACCTCTAGACTTTTAAAGGGTAAAACTGGTAATATTTTATTTTTTAATTCTAATTGATTTTTAAAATAAGACCAAAATTTTACTAACGGTTTTGTTATCAAATTAACCGTGGAACATCCTGTGTTTCTATTTGTGTTTTTATTTCTTAAGGGCCACATTAATTCTACGATATTATATGGACTAGTAATATCTTCCCCCTCAATTTCAAACCAATTCAGTGAGATTTTATCTTGTTTAATTAGGGGTAGGGTATGCATTAATTGAGCTGCTTGATGGTATAAGAAAATGTTTGGAAAACCAATACCTCCATGCTTATATTTCATAAATAAAAGATCCTGACCTAATCTGGGTTTCTTCTGAAGCCATACATAATCTCTAAAGATCTTATTTATAAGTTTTAGTTGTTGAGGCTGCATCTGTATTGGAATCATCCTCAGAAGATATATAAACCTCGGGAAAATATATGCCTTAATAAAGTTAACCCTGCCCCACCAAGATAACTGCATAGAGTTCCACTGTTTTAACGAGTGGGTACATTCTCCAATCAAAGGGATTACATTAGCCATCATTGTATTGGCAGGATTTTTCACTATATTAATCCCAAGATAAACAAACCCCTTCTTTTCCCATCTAAAGTCAAAAAATTTAGTTAAATATTGATACTCTTCCTCTTTCATATAAAAAGGTAATACCGTCGTTTTTTGAACATTAAGTTTATAATTTGACAGTCGACTATATCTTTCAATTACCTGCATAACTGCTACTACTGACTTAGTTGGATTAGTTAAGGTTAGTAAAGTGTCATCTGCATATTGACATCTCTTAAAATGTTTATCTCTCTTTTTAAACCCAGATATTTCAGCATTATTTCGTATTTCATATGCCAAAAGTTCAGCTGTTAAAATATAAAGCAACGGAGATAAAGGACAACCTTGTCGGGTACCATTCGATACCATAAACCAATCAGATTTAATCCCACCTCCGACAATCCTGCTGGAAGGTGCGGAATAGCAGGCCAGGATTGCCAACAAAATCTGCCCTGTAAACCCAAAAGCTTTGAGAGTTGCTTTCATAAAATTCCAGCTGACCCTATCAAAAGCCTTTTCTCCGTCTAAGGCCATCGTTAGAAAAGGAATTTTATTCATATGGATCTTAGAAAATATATTTAATATCTTCCTAATATGGTTAGAAGACGTCCTGCCTGGTATAAACCCTACCTGATCTTCTGAGATCAGGGAGGAGATTATATTCTTAATTCTTTTAGCGATAATAGAAGCATAGATTTTGTAATCATTATTTAATAAAGCTATTGGGCGATAATTGGCGATTTCTTCTGAGTTTTTATTATTTTTTAGAATAGGTAAAATATTTGCAGCCAGCAATTCTTTAGGTAAATTGCCTGTAGACATCGCCATGTTGTAACAATCAGTCATTCTCTGAATCAGCCTATCCTTGTACATTTTAAAAAAAGAATCTGTAAATCCATCTGGGCCTGGAGCTTTATTTTTTTTTCATATCATCAATGGCATCAGAAACTTCTTTAAAAGAAATCTCTGTATTCAATTGTCCTAATTGGTTATCATCCAGCTTAGGCAGATGAATATTCAAAAAATACCTATCCAACTCCTCTTGTGAAGATGTGACTGGTAGGTTATACAATTTATAATAATAATTTCTAAAGACTTCTCCAATCTTTTTAGGATCTAATATTTCGTTTCCCTGATTTATTTTTGTAATTAATTTATTTTTTTGTAAATTTTTAACTTTATTAGTGAGTAATTTGTTGGCCTTATTTCCCCTATAATAATAATTTATTTTCATATATTGAAGATTTCTATTTATTTTAAAGATCATAATTTCATTTATTTTATTTTCTATTATCCTGATTTGATTCGAGATCGTTCTTGTAGGTGTCATAATATTTTTTTTTTATAGCATTCACTTAATTCCATATAAAGGCTTGAAAGGGATTCCTGTCGGTTTTTCTTGGTCTCAGCTTCTAAACTAATAAGGTGCCCCCTTATAACGCTTTTAAATGCGCACCATTTTATAACGGAGGACACTTCGTTATTATCATTATCCTGCCAATAGAGGTCTATAGCCTTTGCAATTTGTTCGCTATTAATTTTAGGTATCAATAGCTTGTCATTTAATTTCCAGTGTGGCCTTTGCTTAAAAAATATATTCTTTAATTGTATTTTTACCATATTATGATCAGACCATGTTACCGTAATTATATTAGAAGATTTCACATTTTCTATCAAATTTCGATCTCCAAATATGAAATCAATTCTTGAATAAGAACAGTAAGTCTTACTAAAACATGTGAAGTCTTTCTCTGTAGGGTGAAAAATCCTCCAGCAGTCATAAAAGGCTTCATTTTGTATTATATTCCTAAATTTTTTTGCCTGATTTAAAGCATTCCTCGAGGGTATTTTAGACTTTTCAGACTGTCTGTCCATATTGGGATCAGTTACCAAATTAAAAAAATCGCCCATAACTAATGTATATCCTTGTTTAATTTTATTTAGTTGAGCAAAAAATTTATGTAGAAACTGTATCTGAGAGGTGTTTGGGGCATAAATATTAGCAAATGTATAACGTTTATCTTCTATTGTGCATACTAAAATAATCCACCTTCCCATCGGATCGATTTTAGAATAGATAATCGAAACATTTAATGTTGAAGAGAAAAAAATAGCTACTCCCCTCTTTTTTTTCCTTTACAAGAAGAACATAACACACTAGTAAAATCTTTAATTCTAAATTTCCCCTCATCTGTTCTTCTCCAATGAGTCTCTTGGATGCCTACAACTTGCGCATTTTCTCTTCTGATATGATCAGCTAAAAAGTCTCCTTTTTTGTGGGGAGTTCAGACCTTGTGCATTAATAGAAACTACATTAAACATAGAAAATTTCTTATCTTTTGCTCTTTTCTTTTTTTTCCCCTCTCCTTTTCCTGACTCCTCTCTCTATTCTCTTTCCTTTTTTTCCCTTTTCCCCTTTTTCCTCTTTTCAGAGTCACATCGCCTTCAGGATAGGTGTCTTTTTTTACTAGTTTATATATTTGCATCTTCGTCAACTTTATAACAAACAAAAAACCACAAAACATTTACATTCACAACCACAATTATAAAAGACATCCCTTAAAGGAAGTATGGATGGACCTGTGATTTCCCTCTTTCACAGAACCTCCAGATAGATCCTATATGGGATCATTATAATGATACTGAACTGCCCCTTATGAGAGAGTGTTTGAGCAAGATGATAAATTTGGACCCCTGATAAATGCTCTACATAGATATCAACAAAGAGAAAAAAAAAAAACTAGAACCTCTATCTTATCAATCTCTAACTAGACCTTCTTCCTCCTCTCTCCCTCTCTTCTCCTGGAAGATCTCAGACTTCGTACCTGACCAATTCTGTTCTTCCACTTCTAATAAGCATAAATTATTATTCAATCCAACATAAACCTTAGTGATTACACTATCCCTTACACCCATTATCAACCTTTATCCCTCTATCCCTTCAAAAACCCTATTTGGTTCAGTATCCTTATAACTTTTAAAGCAGTATTAGTGACTTATCAATTTACACTCGTTTTGTGATATCCATTTTGAAGCTTAATTAAATATATTCTTCTCTAAAAAAAAAACGTGCTTCCTTATAAACTATCAAATTAGAAAAATTTTTACCCTCAAATCTCCCTCTTAAACTCTTACTAAGACATATTCATTATCTCTCCTCATCTATTCCAATAATTATATATTCCCATTTTCCTTCTTCAGTGAAATTTCTTCCTTTATAACAACTATTATACTTATCCTTCCTTAATCGTTATCTTACATCCTATTATTACATTGCATAACGTGAACAGCAACCACGTCTTTAAATAACATCAATAACTTTATAAGCCACTTATATAACCATCTAGTATCTTGCATTGACTAAAAAATAAAAAAAATCCTTACACGTGCGATCATCCCCAAAGGAAGAACTCTCCTAGTACATCACCATTATGATTTTTATCAATTAACAAAGTCTATCTTCATCTTCTTTATCCTCCCCTTAGACCAGGTATAGGTAGTAAAGCCGGGAAGGGAGGGAGAGAAAGTCAAAAAAAAAAAAAGCCTTCATTTTTCAATTTATATAGCTTCTCTCCTGTGACCTTTATCCTCATTTCCTTGAAAGTCCATTTGAAAATTTTGCTCTCTGAACCAATTTGAAATTTCTGTAACATCTGAAAAGGAATATGTCCTTGCTTCGTATGAAACAATAATTTTACAGGGATATCGCCATGCATATCTGATGTTCTTCTGATGCAGGATCTTTGTATAATTTGCAAACAATTTTCTTTTAATCCTAGTATGATAGGAAATATCTGGAAAAATCCTAATGTCACTATGTGGATCCTTCATCTTAATAAGTCTTGATGCTTTTAAAACTTGTTCTTTCATTATATAAGACGAGCAGCAGATCATCACATCTCTCGGTTTGCTTTGATCCACATATTCCGGTTTCATAACTCTATGACTTCTTTCCAGAAAATTTAATGAATTTATCGTTTGTATACCCAATTGTACAAAGATCTCCCTAATATGATCTTGCAATTTATCACTATTGATAGATTGTGATTCCCCCGATTCTTAAATTGTTGCGTCGAGAACGATCTTCTAGATCTGCAATTTTGAGTTACATATCCTCTATCTTTTTATTTGTCTTTCTCATGGTATCTTCTGTTGTTGCTTGCTGAAATTCCATTGATTCTTCTTTTTCTTCATACTGCTTAAGTTTATTTCCCATCTGTGATAACTCCATTTTGAATTCCAGCAAACCATCATGTATCTCCTTTTTGATTTTCTCAAGTTGCCGTTCAAAACAGGACTCAAGATAAATATGTAGTTCATCCGCGCTATATTCTTTTGGGCTTAGATTTGAAGAAATGTCCTTTGGAGATAAGTGTTCTGCTTCTTTAAATGATTGGGAAGAAGAATCTGATAAATTTTGTTGTTGGTCTAATTCCAATTTCTGTGTTTGCAGCGGAGCTGACGAAGATAGCCTTCTATCTGACTTACATTCTATATTTCTTTCTCTTTTCATGGGTTGTTTATCTTGCCCTTTCCTAGTGGTCATCTTAAATGAAGGAAAAAAAAAAAAAAAAATGATTTCTCCTTTAAACCAGATTCAAACGGACCTTTATGCTGTTAACGCTTGTTCCACGCCTTTAAGACTTATAATGCTTTAATTATACTTTTAGGAACCGATGGAAGGCGGAGAAATAAATTTTATCAGCTTTCCCTTCTTATCTTTGGTGTTTTTTTTTCAGTTGACTTTGCTCCTTTATCATCTTCCAATTAAACAGTTTGTTTATATATAATATCTTCTGGTTAAACTACCATATTTAGTTGTTACAGATTAGCAGTTTTAGCAGATTTAAGCACTTATGCTTGTTGCCCTTTTGCCTGTTTTCTTATATAATCTTAATTGTTTGCCTCTTTGCTTTATCTTGAGAAGTCTTACGGCATATTATCTTACTGGTATTTGGATTTAACTTTTATAATAGTCAGCGGAGTCAAATATTTTTATGAGGGTATTTAAGTACCACAGCCTGTCAGGGTGCAAGCAATCAATTGCACACGTTCCACAAAAAAAAAAAAAAAGTGGACGTGGAAAATGAATATATATGTACCCTTTGAAAATAGGTTTTCTTTCTCTTTTTTTCCTTTCTTCTTCCTCCTCCTTTTCTTTTTCTCTTTTTCTTTTATGAATCTTAAAATATTAAATATTTACAGCAGTTATCTTTTAAGTTCTTTATCAAAATATTCGCTACCAAGCAGCTTTTTCAGGGTATAACAGTGAAGCTTTTGCTGAATATTTGCTCCACTTACCCACACAGTGGCTGTTGGTCCGTCACTGCTTCAGGCTGGGCTCATCCGACCCCCGTCCTCCGCTCTCTTTTTTCCGGTCTCCTTCCTGATTATTCCGGCTTCGGGCTTCTCTTATATATAACATCGGCTTCAGGCTTCGAGCAACAAACGGCTCCAAGGTGGCAACAAAGCATCAAGGCAGCTCCACAGCAGGTTCCACGTAGCTCAAGCAATCCTCGTCCGGTTGGGCGTCCTGAGGCTCAGCTCCCTAAGGCGTCAGCATCTCCGCGTGCGAGGACGTCCGCACACTAGTGTCCACGTCCTACGTCATCGCTCCACCCCCCTTAGAGAGGATGTTATTACAATTATATATTTATTTCTTATTGTGTGTGCTGATATCTCAATAACTCAAAAAAAAAAAAAAACACAGCAAGTATATTCACAGGTTTGTTTGTTTTTCAATATGGTGTCAAGATTAAATTCCTTCCTTCTCTTCCAAGCTTACATATGGAAAAGTTGGATTGAGTCATGATAGTGATATCTGGATAACCTAAGCCATCTTGTGACATACTTTCTTAAGGAAGATACTACTTGGGATTCGAGGTTTTGGTTTTTTTTAGATGCCCAAGCAAAAGTAGATATTAGATCAAGTTTTTAAGATAGAATTTGAAACTTGGTACTATATAGCTCTAAATAGAGGAGTTTCAGGAGTATGATTTCAAGACCCCTAAAGGGCCCAACCATGAGATTTCCACTGTCTTCCATTGCGTCAATAGTATGTTAAATTCCACCAACATTATTTCATGATTAATTGTAATTGTTTCTGGTGTTTTTGGTCTGATCTTGATACCTACATTATCTATAGATTTTTGATGCACATCGAATTGACCAATATTACATTTTTCTGATCAGTCATATAATTTCAATATTTTAATTTTAGAAATAGTTTATAATTAGACCATGAGGAGAATAGATAAATTTCTTCCTAGAGGGCTGGCTTACTTGAATGAATGCCTTTTTGACAGAGAGCCATTAAGACAGACTAAGATGTTTTGAAGACTCTGCAGGTGTTCTCCTCCCCTGATCTGCCCGGCATGAATTCAGCCTGGTTAGATCAGTTAAATGAGTTCAAGAATCAGTCTCAGAGCAAAAATCTTAAAAAAAAAAAAAAACTGCTAAATTAATCAGGGATATGGGCTTTTAATTGATGATCAGATTTGGATCCTTTCCTAGCGTTAATTCAATTAGGGGAAATTTTTGTTTCCCTCTTTGTTTCTCTCCTAACCTAAACGTTCGGCTTAGAATTGGATTAAATCGCTGGATCAAGAGATAAAAAATAAATTAAGTGCTGTAAAGCTGTCAGTACCTGGAGCATTGCCTTTTCTCATTTATTATTTCAATTGTGAAAAAGGTTGTTGTAAAGTATCTAATCTTTCAGCAGATTGACAGGGGAGATGCAGGCCCTCCAGAAATGGTTTTCATGTTGACATTTCTCTTAATCAGAGGTTATATAGTGATTCATATTGTCTAAATTATTTTCCTATTAGTCCTATTTCTTTGCATACTCATCTAACCTCTGATTTTTCCCCCTGGATGATCTATCTTCCCTGCAACATCTTTTGTAAGATTTTATTTGTTCTACTTTCTTATTTTGCTATTAGAATATATAATTCTGCAAGATCTCTACCTCCCTTTCTGTTCAACAAGGATCCCTGTTTTTTCAAATATCCTCACAAGAAGCATTTCAAGGTACATTATAGTGTACCATCTCGAACCTCACCATTCTCATTAAGCACTAATAAATTCAAACAGGCTAATGATTTCTATCAAAATATAAGGCGTTAACAAGAGCTGATCAGTTTCCATTTTTGATGATCATACAGGGGTTACCGTTAAGATTTAAAAGAGTGGGTGCAGGATCTGATCATGTGGTATTTCCCATGCTGGAGCTAGTGCTCATCTCGAGGATGGGACTCAGCATAAAACGTTGATCTGTGAGTATGAGCCATGTGGAGATGAATAGAAAGTAATGTTGGTCCTCAGGGTGATGCACCCTCCATACGTCTGTTTATTTTTTTTAAATGAATGAGAAAAGTTCAGTCTTAATTCTAAGATTTTCAGATTTATGATCATTAACTTTACTGACCTTATGTCTATCTGGATTGCAAATATTTAAATTGCCTCCTATCACCAAACATTAAAATTCAATAATTTATATTGAATGATATAGAAATTCGACTGAATGTTCAGATGGTGTATATAAACTAACCAATGTATACATAATACCTTTAATGTAACAAATCAAAAATCACAAGTCTACCTTTTTCACAATCATGATGTGTAATATATATATATATATATATATATATATATATATATATATATATATATTTCAAATAAGTTAAAATTTGAATAATCACAGCAACACAAGACTTCATTTTCTCCATCAAGATTTAATATATGGAATTCTACTATGTTTCCATAATAGACACATGGGAAATGAGCAACCTTTTATAAGTTAAAGAAAATATTGATGTGGCCCTAAGATCATTTAGGTATGCTCTTTTAGAAGGAGAATGCAATCCCTACAAAAGTAACCATTTTAAGAGAAACTCTAGTCTCCATATCCAGACTTCAAAGTTTTATTTTGACATGTAATCTGGAGCACCAAAGGACAAACCATTAGAAGAAAGAAGCAAAAATACAAAAACGAATATACTAAATCTTTTTGCATTGTGATGCAAAGATATCTTCTGCTTGTAATGGAGATGCTAAGTTCCCTGGACCATCAGGGACAGGTTTTGGGGTGCCTCTAATTTAAATGTTATGACTTATGTCTATAAGGCAGAGAGATTCTGTATACAATCTCAAAAGGTGAAAAAAATTAAATTAAAAAAAAAAACTTCATACCACTTATCTTTGTGGTCAGAATCACTAAGTATTTCAATTCTATTCTGTGCGAAAAATTATAAAATTTTGATAGTTTTCCCCCCTCTCCCTTTTCCCTTCCTTCTTGTTCCATCTAGTTTCCATCATCTCATTTTATTAATACATTTGGAAATGTCATTATTTGAACTTGATATTGCTTAACTTCAAGTGTTAAAAATTACTTCATTTGCTAAATATTGTGAATTGGGAGAAAAAAAACATCATACATTTTCCTTCCCCTCTCCCTGTTCTACCCAATTCCTATATTATTTTTTAATTAGTTTAAGAATAACTTATTACTTGCTTTCATCAAATTATTAATATTTACAATATGTGTTAGAAACAGTTTAAATAAATTTCATGATAATTCTGTATGTGTCTTAGACCATGATTAGATTCTAGAGATAGAGTAAAAATCTAATTAAATTAGCTCTATGCTCAAAGTAAAAAAAAAAAAATGCATTTATACACACACTTAACTTTCCCATTCCTCTACATAATTCCCATTATTCATGTCTAATGCACAAGCAGTTACAAAAATATTACTTTCATCAATATCACATTTCTAGAATTATAGGTCAGAAAGAAAAAAGTTATAAAATAAAAAATTCTTACTTCCATATTGCTTAACTTTAAGTGTTCAAAATCATTTGTTAATTGTTAATAATGAGAAATCAGTTAAGGTCATCAACATGATTTTTGGGGGGATTCTTACTAATCTCTCTGATCAACATATCCTTTATACAACTTCTGGTGAATCGTATCATGTGTTGGGATATCTGAGCCAAGTTCATTGGCTTCGGTAATCTATGTATTCTGTTTATTTGTATTGAATCACATAATTGTTTCTATTTAGACATATTGTAATTTCATCAGATATTCAAGATCATCAATTTCTTCCAGATTTCCTCTGATTTTTAAATTCTGATATCTTCAAGATCAGTCATTAAAATCAATTTTAAATAAAGCTGCTTTCAAGGAATCATTTTGAGTTTGCAGTTCACTGATATAAACATGCAATTTCTTAAGATTGTTTTAATAAAGAACTGCTTAATTGAGACATTTCTTAATTATATTCAGATAGAATCACTGTACGATAACATCAAACTAGATCTAGACAAAAACCTAAGGCAGCGACTAACATGGGATATTATTCAAGCAAGTCTAAAGTATTTGTGCAGACAAACTTGTTCACATAAATGTTTCAGAGGATGATTTTTCTGATAATGTGGACATATTCACTTGACTTTAAGGGGAGTAAAAATTGCTCATAGGTTGTGGTTTGTGTTCTTTGATTTTTTGTTTTCATTTTTATCCCTTATCTCCTTTTTGAGCCAT